GGGTAGGTGAAATATTTTTTCTCTTCCAATTTCTATTTTTTATTTTCTTTGGGGACGAAGGTTACCAGGGTGGAGAGTAGATATTGAAGAACTTGGAAATGGGTGGGATTGGGGTGCACGATATGAAATGCCCAAAGATTCAATAAAAAAAAATGTTTAAAAAAAAAAACTGTGGCACACAGTTTGTCTGAGGCCACATTGCTCATATGTAATAAAGTCAAGATCCAAAGTCAAGGAGTCTGGCTCCTGTCTGTGTTTTTACCCCTGCACTAGGGAAATGCTATCAAAATAAAGGGCATATTAAAATGTACAGTGCAAGCAAAGAACAAAAGGTGAAGATCCCAGGTTGGAGTGGAAAGGAGGAGGAGAGGATGGTCAAAAGCAAAAAGCCACATTTAGATGAGAGGAACAATTTAGGTTTCTGGTTTTTCTTACAATCTCTGGTATTGTGAATATAGTTAATACAGTGCATTGCACATTCAAAACTACTAAGTACAATGCAAATGCTCTAACCACAAAAAAATAAATACATAAAATGATGCAGATGTTAACTAGCATAAAATATTCCTTGCTGTTTTCATAATCATGAAATCAATTTTTATTCTATAAGAAAATACAACTATAGAGCTATGAATGTACCCCAGTGGTGGAGAACTTACTTAGCATGAACAAAGCCCTGGGTCTAATCCACAGCACAGGAAAAAAAATCACTTAAGTAAATACATCCATAATTTTCTCATTTACAATAATACAGGGGCTGTGGAGACAGCTCACTTGGTTAAACCCTGTCTGCACAAACATGAGGACCAGAGATTTGATCTCCAGCACATGTAGAAGCTGGACATGGAGACAACATCTGTAACATCTCCCCTGGAGAAGCAGAAGATAGCTGGATCCCTGGCCAGTCAGTCTAGCCAATCCTTAAACTCTAGGTTCCTTATGTTTTCTAACTACATATGTGATACATGTGTGTTAAAGTTAAATTGTGAAATGATGCACCAATACGGTGAACACAAGCCCTTCCTTACCCCTCTACTTTAGCACATTTCCAAAAAACAAGAAATAGCTAACAATTTGGAGAATTCCTTATCATTCGAGATTTTTGTAGACCTGCACATTTGCACACACACACACACACACACACACACACACACACACACACACACACACCATTTTCTTCTTACACAAAAAGGTAGAATGATCCCTGTTACTGAGCTGGCCCAGACTATGTAATGAACATCTTTTCAAAACAGAAGCACAGAACTCATTTTCATGAACTGCTTATTCTCCATTGTGTAGAACTCCAAATCGTGTTCAGCCATCACCCCACAAGTCATTTCCGGTTCTGTTGTCATTGTGAAATTCCTTGAGGAAGCATTTCTTCAAGAATGATTCCAGACATGCAATTGCTGGACCACTAGGTAGGTAGATGATATGGATGGATAGATAGGTAGATAGATAGATAGATAGATAGATAGATAGATAGATAGATAGATAGATAGACAGACAGACAGGATGGATGGATGGATATGGATGGATGGAGAGAGAGAGAGAGAGAGAGAGAGAGAGAGAGAGAGAGAGAGAGAGACGCATGTGCATATGTGTTTAGATTTCAGTAGACTCTCCATACTGAGAAAATCCATTTCCTAAATAAAATGTAGGCCTCTGTTAGGACTGCTGTCAAAAAGGAAGAGATGACAAATAGAAATTTTCATATTTCACATAAAAGGCATTGGCTACTGTTTTATTTTTAAAATCGTGTTTTTCTTATTTTCTATAATTTTTTTTAAACTCATGCTTTGGAAACTATGTAGTAACATTCACTTTGAGTCAAACGTCATTTTGTAAATTAATGCTCAGAAGATCTGTGTTACGATTCTAATATGAAATGTCCCCAAACATTCAGTTTTGAGCCCTTGGAGCCCAGGGGCTGGTGCTGTTCTGTGAGGTCATGGAAACTGTAGTAGGTGGCGGGCACCTAGATGTAGAAAGTGGTCATGGGGCCAGGGACCATGAATTCAAACGTTACAAGGCATGTTCAGCAAATCCCTTGTGCACAGCTTCCTGGCAGCTTCCTGGCTGCTATGAGGTGAATGGCTCCTCTCTGAAAGAGCAAGCCAAAATAAATACATAGCATTAGGTCGCTTTTCTTGAGTCCTTTCTCATGGAAAGCTAACTAATACTCTGGTTAAAGAAAGACAAAATGCACCCACACCACAGACAAACACTGCTCAGCACTGACATGTGTTCAGATCTCAGCATTGCTACTTTCCTGCAGTGAGAAGGTCATTCACGGGCCAGACTAAACCGAACAAAGGTCTCTGTGGGTGTAGCTTGAGTTACAGTTTTAAAATGTTTCTGACTAATTCTCAGGTGCAATGAGGTTGAGTGCTGTAGCTACAGCATTTGCTAATTTTGTAATTTTGGAAATTTTAGCAAAAAAAAAAGTGATGGCAGTTGTTCAGCAGCATCCTAGCGAAGGAACATTAGAGTGCAGATATAAATGTAGCATGCACTCAAATACAAGTTGGCAGAATTTATTTAAAATGTAACTTGAATTATTTTTATGTTCACAGATGGCTCTTAAAAATAGTTTTGCCTACCTAGTATTAACAACAGAGAGATATATGGGTCAGAGAGACCAAAACAATAGAAGGAGCTGGAATATTCGGGGGAAAAAATAGAAAACACAGAGCCAGACATAGTTAATATATATCATGTGACTCAAAACGAAGTTTTCAAGTCCAAAGTCATGGGGAAATTCTTTGCAATCTAAAAGTTCATTTTTGCTTCAGTTTTTTTAAAGTGTTTTTAAAATTATTCTTTTCTATTTTTATTTACATGTATATGTGTGTTGTGTTTCTGTGTGAGTATATGACGTGTGTGTGCAGGTACCCATGGAAGCCAGGAGAAGGCATCAAAACCCCTACAGTTAAGAGTTGTAGATGGGGGTAGTCAGAACCAAATTTGCATCCTCTGGGATTCAGGTCCTCTGGAAGAGCAGCAAGCACACTTAACTGCTGAGCCATCACTTCAGTCTCCAATTTTTTTAAGAGTAGATGGATACTGCCTAGTAAGAATAATATAACAATGGGGCTGCAGAAACTGCTTAGTGGTTAAAGGGAATGTACTGATCTTCCAAGCACTGAAGTTCAATTCCCAGGACCCACATCAGGTAGCTCACAACCATCAGTAACTCCAGCCCCAGGGTTATACAACACCTCTGGCCACTGTGGACACCTGCACTTACATAAATGCACACACACACACACACACACACACACTAAAATTAAAAATAAGAGTCAGAATACAAGCTTTAGTAACTGTTTATTATGGCCATCATACAATTACACGATGAGAGATTTAAGAGATAAGAGATGACCAGCACAGGAGAAGGTCAAGCCAGCAGCCTACAGCCAGCACAGGCCATGTCAAAGCCAGCAGCAAGTCGGAGAGGCTTAAGGTGTACTTATAGAATAGGGGCTTGGGGAGCACAATTACAGAATCCAAATCCACACCCTCTTCTGCACGAGGTATGTGTCCTTTACTTTCTCCTTCCACTACAGTCTTTATCAATTAAGAAACCAACTATCTTAAACCCACAAGGAAGGCTGCATTCTACCCTATGCAGGCAGAACTGAGTCTTGGGAATTAATGAATACTGTCCTTTAGGTCAGTACAACAGCAGCCTGATAGTCCATAACTAGCAATTCCTAGGTGATTAAATATTCATAATTCTGATTTCCAGTTTCTTTCTAATACTATATTCCACACTTGCTTCCTTTTCTTACGATATGGGTATGGTTATGAGGCTCTCAAAACTAATTTGGTAACAATTTGAGGATGGAATCAGCCACATACAAAGGGTAGAACAGTGCCTGGAACCCTAAAACAATAATAGAGACCAGAAGACAAGATGCTAAGCCTTGAGTTTCAGCATCCTTGCTGTGGTGAGGACCAGGCTCCAGGAGAACTTTCAAGAAGGGATCCAGTGAGGAGCCAATCAAAGCCACTCAATCCACTATGAAGATCTCACCCAAAGCATGGCAGAGGACTTCAGGTGATAATAAATACAGCACGTGACTGTGACCTTCCAAGACCACTGAGACTGGGGGAGCCCTGGTGAGAAGACAGAATGTCCCTGCTTAAATCTCCTTGCATCGTGTGTCTTGAGTATGAGCCCTGACATCTTGGCCTGGGAGAGTAACCTGAAAGGTAAAATCTCTCTCTCTCTCTCTCTCTCTCTCTCTCTCTCTCTCTCTCTCTCTCTCTCTCTCTCTCTCTCTCACACACACACACACACACACACACACACACACACACACACACACTGTTTTCCTTGGGATGTTGTCAAAATCTCATGAGCTCCCGTATACTTTGAGAGAAGATTCACATTTGCTACGGCTTTTAATGTGGTGTCAGAAACAAGCCAAGAATAAAGCAAGAATGCGTTAATACTATGTAAAGAGTTTCCTGCATTAGGGATTCCTGCATTAGGGAAAGTGAAGAAGAAAGCCACTTTAGAACATATTAAGGTTGGATTCTTCAGGGGAGAAAGCGGCCTAGAAGGATATGTGTGTGTGTGTGTGTGTGTGTGTGTGTGTGTGTGTGTGTGTGTGTGTGTAAGGTATGTGTGTATATATATATATATATACATATATATGATATATATATACCATATATCAGAAAATACACACTGATAAAGCTACACAGATACCTGCTACACAGCAGAGAGACAGGTGATGTCACAGGAAAACCAGGTCACAACAGGTCACAAAGACGATTGTCATACACAGAGGAAGCTGAAGTCCAAAGGTATTGGGGCAGTCACTGGGGAACGGAGGGAAAAAACAGGTGAGGGAAACACATGGTGCACATCCTAGACCACTGAACCATACAATTTTACTCCTGATTTTCAGTTCTGTTTTGTGTGTGTGCCTGTACACTCACACCACACACACGTGGATGAGTGTCATTTCTCAGCACCACCCACCTTTTTTTTTTTTTGATGCAGGGTCTCTCACTAGCCTGGAACTTGCCAAGTAACACACACAGCCTTGCCAAGGCTGACCAGTAAGTTATGAAATCTCTACCTCTCTGCCTCTCCAGGGCACACAACGCCAGGCCTAGCTTTTTTTTTTTTTAAACATGGTTTCTGAGGATCAAACTCAGGCTCTTATGCTTGCCAGACAAGAACTTGACCAACTGAGCTGTCTCTCCAACAGAGTTTTTAGTTTTTAACTCACAGGTCTTTGGCTCCTTTGTGATAGGAACTGAAGAAAAATTAAACTTAGCCTGTTTTGTGTTACTATAACAAAACACCTAATGCTGGGAAATGTTTGTTGTTTTAAATGATTTTGGCTTAAGACACTGGTGACTAGAAAGTCCAAACTGCATGGTGCCAGCATCTGTGAAGACCCTGTGGCTATATTAACACGGTGAGTAGTGTCACATGGTTGGAAGCCACTAGGGAAGAGAGGAAACAAGAGTGAGGAGGCACCAAGGTTTCTCTTTTATAATAATCCACTCTCTTGGGATCTACTCTATTCCTTTAAGAGGTAATCAATCCCCTCCTGAAAGCAGTCATGATGAAACCACCTCCCACTAGGCCCCACCTCTTAAGGGTTGTACTTGATAATTCTGTCAACTTGACACAAGCCAGAGTCATCTGAAAGGATGGACCCTCAATTGAGAAAATGTCTCCGTAAGAGCTGGCCTATAGGGCATTTGAATTAGTGATTGATGGGGAAGGCCCAGCCCATTGTGGGTAGTGCCATCTCTGGGCTGGTGGTCCTGGGTTCCATAAAAAAAGCAGGCTGAGCAAGCCATGAAAGCAAGCCAGTAAGCAGCACCCCTCCATGGCCTCTGCATCAGCTCCTGCCTCCAGGTTCGTGCCCTCTTGAATTCCTGTCCTGACTTCCTTTGATGATGAACTATATGAGGTACCATATAGTTAGGGTGCTAGGTGACAAGTAATGTTAACATGTGCAATAGGAACTACTGGTTTGGTGTGTAAATGGATGTTCTTTCTGAGTAATGGCAGAGTGTTTGCCTTAGCAGAACAAAGAAGAAGAGGAAAAACAATTATGAACTATGATATGGAAGTGTAAGCTGAATAAACCCTTTCTTCCCCAACTTGCTTTGATCATGTGTTTCATTGCAGTAATAGGAACCCTAACTAAGACAAGAGTCTACCACCTTTTAACACAAAGTCCTTGGGACCAAGCTTCCAGCACAAAATCCTTTGAGGAACAAAACTTTATCTAAAGCACAGCAGCAACACTTCACTGGGAACGGCACGAGGCAACTATGACCACACTGCTGTTTGCAATACATTGATTAGACTACTGTACCATGAGGATAATTAATCTTGATTAGTTTTTTAAAAATCGTGTTCCTCTAATTTGACTGAGATAGGTTTATTTGCATGTTTACAAACATTAATACCTGGATTGAATTTCCAATCTTCCTCATCACCTAGTCTTTTCAGACTCTCTATTTGCCCATGTGTGCTGGCCAACCTGTCAGGCAAAGATCTGTAGGGTAACCACAAAGCTTTCTGTCTTTCGGAACAGATTTTTGTCCTAATTTTGTAGAATAGAAATGGTCGTTGGAACATAAGTTGGGGGAAGAAAGGGAAGTGACTCAGTAGTCATATTTTGCCCATCTCCCTTTTATGTGCAATCCTGTGCATTTACAAAGACCACTTTATTGTTGATATATTGTGCACCCCAATAAACTTATCTGGTGTCAGAGAACAGAACAGCCACTATATTAAACACAGAGGTTAGCTAGCACATGCCTTTAATCCTAGCATTCAGGAGACAAAGATCCATTGGGATCTCTGTGAATTCAAGGCTACACTGGAAACAGCCAGGCATGGTGGCACATGCCTTTAATCCCAGGAAGTGATGGCAGGAAGCAGAAAGGTATATAAGGCGTAAGGACCAGGAAGTAGAGCCTTTTTAGCAGCAGTTCAACAGGAACTAGAGCCTTTTTAGCAGCAGTTCAACAGAGACACTTTTGGGTAAGGACTCAGAGACTTCCAGTCTGGAGGAAACAGGACTGGCTGAGGAGTTGGTGAGGTGAGGTTGGCTCTGGCTTGTTCTGTCTCTCTGATCTTTCAGCATTCACCCCAATATCTGGCATCAGGGCTTTTTTTATTATTAATAAGACCATTTAGCAATTCGTGTTACAGCACTTGTGTGTCTGGATGTGATGGAAGAAAATAGCTTTATGTCACCAGGCTGGACCAATGAAGGGAGAGGAAATGATCTGCGTGGGTGGACCGGTACAGCTGGACAGAGGTTACAGCTTGCACACACGGTACTCTTCTCTCTGGGTGTGTTGCCTTTTTCAGGTTCTTTTTCAGGAATGGGGCCGTGTGTATGTGTGTGTGTATCCCTCCTGAGCGGCAAGCACAGCCAGACAGCTTTTAATGGAGAAAAACACAAGAGGGACTAACAACTATTTCAGCCGTTCCTCGAGTGAACACTCTTTTTCCCCCCTTCTACATTATCAAATGCTACGGTACTTTAAACTTCTCCCATTAAGCCTTCTGAGTGAAATATTGAACTGATTAATGTGGCATTTTCCACTAAACTGTTTCAGGAAATGTTGCACCTTACCAGTGGGATGCCTCTGAATAATGTAACCTCCTTAGTATAATTAAAACTAAGTTCTGAAGTTAGTACCTTTTCTCCCCCGAGGCACTCATCAAAATGTCAAGTGTTCCTTCTAGTAAAACTGCAATCCCATAATACAAACAAATATATTACCCACTGCTCCTCGTGAGCAAGAGACCCTTGTTGCTTCTTCTTCTTATTCTTCTTTTTTTTGTCACTTTATTTCAAACCTGAGCAAGCAGCGTAAGAAATATGGTCACCGAAAGCTATCTGAACCCCCACACTACTCCCGGTTCTGTACCAGTGCCTGGCTTGCATTTACTAATACGTCTTTTGACTGTCTTCAACAGATAAACTTTTTTGTTGTTGGGTTGTTATGGACACATAGAAAACAGTGTGGATATTAAAAGGTATTTGCTTTCCTAGGGATTTCTGTGTGATTTTTTTTTTTAAAGGGGGAACAGGGAGTCAGGGATGCAGAGCCCTCTTCTGGCAGAGAAGCATTTAGAGCTCCTTGCAGATCCAGGGGCTTGGTTTTCGGTTTTTGTGGTTGTTGTTGTTTTTCTTGTTTTAGCAGGTTTTTTTAAAAATCAGCTTGGTAGAGTGTGAATTACAAAATGAGTGACCAACATTATTGTCAACACTGGCAACATTACCTCCTGCAGGGACAGGGGACAGCCTGCCCTCACAGGGCTGCTTCCAGAAGTCCTGTTCTTATAGCTCTAGAGGAGCGAGATAACGTGCAGGAAGGTAAGGAGAAATGGTGTCAGAGCCTGCCCTCTCTGGAACAAATACTAAGTTTGTGAGGCAAGTTCATTATGCAGGCTTAGGACACTTATTTCCGGCTATCAGAGAACTTGGTAGCTTCTCACAAATTACTGGCTTTTTCTAGACAAACCTAAGAGGTGTCAAAGGTTTCCAAATAACAGCCCATTATTTTCTTCCATTATAACCGGTCTTCACTTTGCTTCCTAGAGATCATACTAGCTTTTCCCCCGCTAGAGCCTACACCTGCCATGCGAGAGCCCCATCCCCAAATCTGATGGCCCTGCCAGTCTCCATCTGGGAAGGAGGGTGGGCTGAAGCGACGATGGAAAAGCAGACACTTGGAGACAGAGGGAGCCCAGCGGGACTTTGAAAGAGAAATATTCAGCGCTGGAAAGTGCTTCTTACCAAGCAATGTTTTCATTCTGTGAAAAACACGATTCTTTCCCGTCTGAAGGCCAGGCTGGCTGCCACTTCTCTCTGCCTGCCAACTAGTCATTAGCAAATAATGAGTGACAGTGTGGCTGCCTATGAGAAAGGAGGTGGGCACGCAAGGCACAAAGCGGTGAAGTAATGGGTGTCAGTGAGGGCAGAGTACCCAAGTGCCAGCCTGGATGTGGTTCTCAGGGAGCTGCAGACTGAAGAGAAAGCTGGGCAGAACTGAGAAATGCAGCCTGGACTGTGCAGCTGAGCAGAGCTATGACTACCTAAAGATGTGTGCAGCTGAGCGTGTGTGAGGCTATAGGGCACTGGCTGGGGTATAATGTTGTCTGTTCCCAACCAATGACAGAAATGCTTGGAGCAAATAATTCAAGAAAGTTGTTCGGTGAACATCCAAATTCAAGCTGTTTGAGTGAGAGACTCTTCAGCATCATTTACATGAAACCAACAGCATATTGAAGAGAACCAAGGATTGTCTCATTACGACCCAAGGGCAAGAATACATCAGGAGCTGATCTGCCCTTGGGCCAGAACTGACTCACAGAGAACAGCCCAAGCAGCCGTTCCTGCAGTCTGCTTAGTTCCGTCTCCACCCGCTCTGCGTGGTCTTGCTTTCTCCTTGCTTGTCCATGCTTTTTGTTTTTTTCTCCAGTTCCCTGTTTCATGTTTAAATAGCCAAACATGGCGGCTCCACCCCCAGAGCTTAATTGTCCTCTGTCCAAATGAACCATAAAATTGAATCAGCTATTCATTCTTATTCACAATTTCCAGAACAGACCATTTGCTTCACCCGACTTCGGCTCATCTGTTTTCTAAGCAGGCATGTGCTGGAACTTGGTGATCAACAGTCACTCCTGTGCATGGGGACATAGTCTTGAGAACAGGGCTGTGGGCTAGGAAGCAGGGCTGAGAATAAACTTACTTTTCTGAATGACTTTAACACACAGCAGAAACTGTTTTTTGAAATGGCAAAATAACAAACATTTTTACTTTGAAAAAAAAAAGGTTTACTGGAATTTTTCCCATTTTTGAAAATTTTTAAAAGGAGCAGAAAGTCACTAGCTTATAACTTACCATATAGGGCAGTAGTTTTCAATCTATGGGTTGCAGCCCTTTTGGGGTCGAATGACCCTTCTACAGGGGTCACCTAAGACCATCTGCATATCAGATGTTTACATTACAATTCGTAACAGTAGCAAAATTACAGCTATGAAGTACCAAAGACAATAATTTTATGGTTGGGGGTCACCACAGCATGAGGAATTCTATTAAACGGTCACAGATTTTGGAAGGTTGAGAACTGCTGATATAGGAGAAAGGTAACTAATTTAGGAGCTGGAAGATGTGAGGACTGCTCCCAGTTCCCCTAAACTGGCTGTGTGAGGAAACAATGCAGCCTCTTAGCAGTATGAAAGCCTCTATAGATATGAAATTAGAGTAACGGCCCTGTCCATGCCCAAGTACTAGATAGTGACAACCGCTGTGTATCTGGGGTGGTTAGTGGGGAATAAGAAGTTTGGGTTTCCCACAGCTAGTAACTGTGGGTCCTGTAGTCCTTGAAGCTACGTCACTCTGGATACAAGAAAGACAGACAATGGAGTTGCTCAAGTCACCATCAGCCTTCCTTGTAGAACCGAGCTGCACACTCTTCGAGCAAAAAACCACACACAGCTGGAATAATTGTGCTTTTAGTGACACGTTTAGCAAACAATAAAACCAATCTTGAGAACGATGTGAGTAGATGAGACAAGAATATTCACGGTGGGCTCCCGGGTCAGGAGTGTGGCGGACCGACCTGGGACTGATTCCTTTGTTCGGCAAAGTGATTGAACAGGGCTGAAGTGATGTTTCTACAAACTGAGTCAAGACTACATCCTCACACCTGAGTGGCAGAGGGGCAGGAGGGGGTGACCTCCACCAGTCCATATGGATGCAGCTGGCTTACCACCTGGTCTCCCTTTCCTCCTCAACCTTCAAGCTTCCTGAAGCTGGGTGCTTACAAAGATGATAGTCTTGGCAAGAGGAGCATCTTCAAGCTTCTGCTGTGAAGTTCTAATAAGATAATGGAGAGAAAACTGCTTTAAAAACTGTGAAGTGCTAAACAAATGTAAGTTACCATAATTATTATGATTAACAATGTCAAAAAGGGAAACCATTAAGTCAGTCACACAAATTGGCACATGTACTTAGCACCTAAAAGTAATCAAGCAGGGAGCCTAAAAGCAATTTGATAATCTTCGCCTTTCAAGTTCTTTTTCATTAAGCTTGTGTGGGTTTGTGCATCTATGAAATTGGAAGATATATTTGGCTCCCAGCTTCACCGGCTTAGTGGAGGGATGCCTTCTTTGATTACACCTTATCTTGGATCCATAAAGGGAAAAGCACACGTCCACCTCTGGAACACATACCGCGGCACCTGTTATTCCAGAGAAGTAGCCACCAGAGTGAGCTTCTGGTTTTTCTCTTTGAGATTACTTGCAGCAGGATAGAAAATGCAAGTGTTGAAGAGGTGATAGAAATAGACAGAGAGAGAGAAAGGACAGAGAGGAACCTAGAAGATGACACTTGACTGCTTTATGGATCTCTTCCACTCAACACAGATCAAAGAAAAGTGTACCTAAGAAGCAGTAGGGAGCTGTTGTCCAGTTTATATTTATATAAAATGCATGTATAATATATAATTATACAATAACATTTATTTGTAGGGTGCTTATATATGTGTGAGCATATATAAGTAATATATGTGTGTATACATATGTATATATATGTACATATATATGTAGCATAAAAGACTTGTATTTAGATACAATCAGTACTGAGAGGTTAAAGATAGTCAGTTTTTGTTAGTTCATTAATCCTCCAAACTAGATGGGGGCATTTCTATCCAATTCATATGAGGAAAAGTTATAAACTGGAAAGGGGTCAGTTTAATGATTGTGGTAAAGGGATCCTTTGACACCCACAAAACTTTCATTTCATGAGATGAAAGGTGAGGGGAAGAAGAAAGGCATAATTAGCTACTGAAAATGAACACATTAGAGGCTGAGGAAAAGGAAGGTGAAGAGCACTCTGGGAAAAGAAAACGTCTACCCGTTCCTAAGAGTAGGAACATCTCCTGAGACCTTTCCTCTCGGTCCCTTTGTTTGCGTCTGGGGTACGCTGATCCGAAGAGTTCTGTGTATCTTAGACTCCTAAGATGTTGCTGTGTTCATCACTTCTCCCATCACCGTGACGGAATGCCTGGCAGAAACAGCTTATGGGAGGACAGGTTTATTGAGAGGTCGTGGTTCAGGGGGTCCAGTCCATCACAATGGGGAAGACATGGTGGCTGACAGCTCCATCTGCGGCAGCAAGAGCATGAGGTGAACGTGTTACATCTCTGGGGATCCGGAAGCAGGGACTTCCACCAAAAGAGAGGTGAGCTCAATTCTCCAGGCCCATCCCCAGCAACCTACATCTGCCTGGTAGGCTCTATATCTCAGAGGCTCTACAACCTCCCAGAACAGCATCACTGACTAGGGACCAAGTATTCAAGCACGCTAATCCATGGGGAATATTTTACACCTAAACTATAACAGAAAGCCTTCTGTTCAAACTCGCTGAATTCACAGGAAGGGCCATTTCAGGCTTTATAGCCAAAAGATATAACTCTTAGTAAGATAAACAGAAATAACTAGAATATTAGAAGAGCAATCTTAAAAATTAGCTTGTAAAAAACTAAAACCTCATGTAACGATACCCATTTCAATTTATGCCTTCGGAAACTGTTTTCCCTATAGCTTCTCTCACAGGGACCAGGAAAAAAAATGATGATGTTTGGAGCTAGAAGAACTGTGCATGGGCTTTCTCTGTATCAAGATGGGTGACCTTGGGAAATCACAGAATGTCAAGCCTGTGACATGGATGTAAAGATACATCCCTACTCCTGCAAGGAGTGAGCTGTAGGATAGAAACATGTGCAGCAAAGACCAAAAAGAATGTAACGTCCTACACAAGTAACAAACCAATTTTCAAGATCATGGAATTAAAGGGGTTGTGCTCCACATCAGCCTACTCTAAGGTTTTCAAGCCTTTTAGATGAAAAGATCTTGCTATAATTCAGAATGCTCCAACACATATAATACACTGACTGGCTTAGGAACTACAGAAAGTCATTTCTCACATTCTCAAGGCTAGAAGTTTGAAGCCACCAGGGTTGGGTTCTAATGAGGGTTTTCCCCCCAGATGCAGGCAGTTGTCCTTCTCAGAAAGACAGCAAGAGAGCTCTGAGATTTTCCTTTTCTTACAGCTTCTACTTCTGTTTCTAGGGACTCTTCATCATGACACAGATACCTCATGAAAGCCCTGCATCCTAATATCATCTTGAAGGCTGGGATTTCAAAATATGAAGTTGGAGAGAAAACATGCAGGCCAAAACAGACCTCTGAGTAAAACCACATACAGCAGACACCGGAGCTGTTCTGTTATACCAAGAAATGTCAAAATTCAAGGACCAAGTTATGTTTACAACACCCTGGCAGCACTCAGGAAGCAGAAGCAGGCAGATTTCTGTGAGTTTCTGGCCATTTTGGCCTACGTATCAAGTTCCAGGCCAGTCAAGGTTACATAGTAAGATCCTGACTCAAAATAATAACAAAATACTCAAATTTTGAAACAAGCCCCAACCTCATAGCCCAACTTACACAGTGGGAAATAAGAAGGTATACATACTCCATGCACAAATTTTAAAACTCACTGGTCCAACTTGTTTGAGTTATAGTTAAGAAAACTGGGGTCATTAAGCAGGTTACAACCAACTCTGCTATAAAAGCTTTAAAAAAATCCTCTGTTTTCTTATCCATAATTAGTACATAAGGGAATTAGGCCAGTAAAATATGGAAGTCATGCTATCATATATATATAGATAGATAGATAGATAGATAGATAGATAGATAGAGAGAGAGAGAGAGAGAGAGAGTTTGAGTGGTCTGTCCTTCATCTTATTTTTCCCATATATATAAATTTAGACAAAGGGAGTTTGACAATCAGGTAGAAATAAAATAAAAGACCTCCAGCTAGGCTGCTATGTAAGCAGGAGCCCTTTCAGCTGTGTTAAAAATAAATAAGTAAACACAAATGCCCACCTGGCTCTCAGCTTGTAGCCGCTGAATTGCTTCCTAGGCCTACCTGGCTTGCAGCCCCACTAGCTCAGAGCTCTGTTTCCATCTGTGTTATCACAGGGCCCCAAGTCAGCATTTCCAAACTATTACTTTTGTGCCTTTTTTAAAATATCCCCTGGACTTGCTGAATGCCTGGGTTTTGCTAAGACTCTCAAAGGCGCTACGTGAGTCTGTCCAGGCTGCCATAACAGGTTACATACCATGGACTGGGCCACTTACAACAATAGAGATTTGCTTTCTCACAGTGCTGGAACCTGGGAGTCAAAGGATAGGTGTGGCTGAAGTTTTTCTGGCCCCACCCCGCTCCTGTGGCCCCACAATCCAGCAGCCACTCAGACCCAAATGAACACACAGAGGCTTATATTAATTACAAACTGTACGGCCCTACTGGCTCAGGCTTCTCACTCGCTGGCTCTTACATCTTAAATTAGCCCCTTTCTATAAATCTATACTTTTGCCACGTGGCTAGTGACTTACCGGTATCTTTACATCTTGCTTCTCTTGGCGGCAGCTGGCAGCATCTCCTCAGTTCTCTTTTCTTCTCTCTCCCCTCTCTCCAGTGAGAATGTCCCACCTAACCTTATTCTGCCTCACCCTTGGCCAAACAGCTTTATTGATCAACCAATCAGAGCAAGACACATTCACAGCACACGGAACGACATCCCCATCAGACAGGTGCCGATAGATTTGACAGCTGGTGAGGCCACTCCTCCTGGTTCCCAGGTAACCACTTTCTGCGTCCTCACGTGGCCTTTCCTTTACGATCATGTAGGAGAGCAAGGTGTCTTTTCTTCTAAGGACAGCAGTCCTACTGGATTAAGAATGAAGGTCCCCGGCCCTCCAGGCAGTGTCAGGGTTGGGCTCCCTCTCATGGCACGGATTTCAAACTGAACCAGTCATTGATAGGTCACTCCTCTCATTTCTGTGCCAGACCCAGGCTAGAAGCAAACATGACCACCAAAAAAAAAAGGTCAACAAAATAATCCAGAATGACATTCTATCGTCCCATAGACAGGAGGAGCCTAGCAGAATCACATCATCATCATCATCATCAGAGAGAATACATCCAGCAACTGATAGGAGCAGATGCAGAGACCCACAGCTAAACATTAGGCAGAGCTTGGGGAAATCACTCGGAAGAGGGGCGGGGAGGATTATAGGAGCCAGAGGGGTCAACGACATCACAAGAAACCCACAGACACAACTGACCCTTGGCTCACAGGGGCTCACAGAGACTGAACCGACAGCCAGGGAGCCTGCATGGGACTGACCTAGGCCCTCTGCATATATGTGACAGTTGTGTAGCTTGATCCTCTTGTGGGACTCCTAACAGTGGGAGCAGGGGCTGTCTCTGACTCTTTTGCCTGCTTTTGGGACCCTTTTCCTCCTACTGGGTTGCCTCCTCCGGCCTTAATATGAGGAGAGGTGCCTAGTCTTATTGTAACTTGTTAGGCCATGTTTGGTTGACATCTCTTGGGATGCCTGCACTTTTATGAAGGGAATCAGAGGAGGAGTAGATCTAGGGGAGAGGGGAGGTGAGGGGAGGGACTGGGAGAGAAGAGGGATGGGAAAACACAGTCCGGCTGTAATATATGAGAGAAGAATAAAAGATTTTGAAAAAAGAAATCAAGTAGAGAAAAGTTACAATTACACAAGAATAGTAGAAATGTTGTAATAGTTCAAAGACTATTATTTCCTTGAAAATAAACACTGAGCCTCAAAAAAAATTTAATTAAGGTCCCTCCCTCCTGACCTCATTTAACCATATCTGCCTCTTTAAAGCCCTTTTCTCAGTCTCAGGAGGTACGGTAAGGGCATCAACAAATGAGTTGGAGAGGGACACAATTTAGTCTCTAATAGGTACAAGTTCTTGTTAGTTTTCCCATAGAGCTGAAAAGATTTTTAAATCCTTAATTTGGTAAACACAGAGGAATTGTTTACACTAATGCTTCTGGTGACAAAGCATAACTCTTACAAACAGGAATGTGATGAGATATATATATATATGAAAAACCTGAACAGTTAGCAAATCCCTTCACTTAACCATTTAATTTCTAGCCATTTATGTTAAAGAAAGACTGAATTTACCTCCAGGACATTTGCCATAACAATAAGATTTGGAAAACTGGCCCACTGTGGTGGTGCATGTCTGTAATCCCGAGCAGTTAGGAGCACTGAGGCAGAAGAATGACAAATTCAAGGCCAGCCTAGGTTACATCACGAGAATCTCTATCTAAAGGCTCAGGCGGCAGCAGAGCACACCAGAGAGATGGCTCAGCAGGTAAAGCACTTGTCACACAAGCTAGAGAGCTAGAGTTTAGGTCCTTAAGACCTAGATGGACTTGGCAGCCTGAGTACAATCCCAGCAAACAGGGAGTTGGGACAGGAAATCTGCAGCAACAAGGCTAGACAAGCTAACCAAAGCCAACCCCGGATTCATCAAGAGACCCTGCCACAATGTAAGGTACAGAGCAATTGGGGTAGACGCTGAACATTCCAGGTCTACCTCTGGCCTCCACAGGCCCATGCACACGTGTGTGTGCATTTGCACACTCAGACACACATGCACCACACACATGAACCTAGCTCTCACACTGAAATTCTGTAAAGCTATTCATATAATAATACATAGCATAGAGCATAGAACCACACTCTCACTACAATAAAAATACATCAAGTGGAGTCCATAAAAAACATTTAAACTAATATGTTACCTTGTAGATTATGGCTAGAAGACATATTAAAAGACAGAGAGCTTGCTCAGTGTGTAAAACTGCTTTGCCAGGGGACCTGAGTTCCATCCTGAAACACACATAAAGAGACTAGACACTGTGATGTGGAGGGAAAAAACCATCACAAGAGACCCTAAATAAAATAAAAATTGAAAAACCATTTTTAAAAACGGTTTACTTCTAGCTAGGCATGGTGATGTATTTGTAATCCCAGTCCTGGGGAGGGTGAAGCAAGAAGGTCAGTTCAGTGTATGTCTCTGCTACATAGTGAGTTTAGGACCAGCCTGGACTGCAGGATACACAGTCTCAAAACAAAACAAAAAATGACTTCTGTTCAGAAAGAGAAAGGGTTGAGGGGGAAGGAGGAGAAAGGACAAGAACAAATAATATGGAGGGTGTTTTCTGCATGGGTGATAACTCACAATGAAACTCTTACTGTATTCAATCAATAATATGCTAATGGGATTTTAAATTACTGCTGAGTACTACTATTAAGGCTAATATTTATTTTCTTTTTTCAGTTTACTTTTATCTCCCACAATGAACAAGCAACACACTTGTAAAAAAGAATGTTTGTCGTCTGAGTTTAAACTGGAGGAGCAACTGAGGTTTCAAGGTACATTAGACATTTTATCTAAAGTGACCCCGTGTCTGCGGCACTTATTTCTTAGTATCTCCCGCATGCTATAAACATCCTGAAGAATTTCCTCCTTCTTTCAGATGAAAAAGCAACAAAGAGATTATAACAACATTTTAAAAATTCTGTCCACAGATTCTTTGCTAAACCACCAAATCCATCCTGTCTTACCCTATCCTCCCTCCCTTGCACCTAAAATCAAGGAATGAAAAGGGAGCCGGGACCATGGTTTGACAGGACTGCTTTCCTAACACAGTATGTTCTGCTGTGATCCACAAGCATGGCGGCTCCAGCAGCCAACGCAAATCCCTAGGACTGTTCCAAAAGGCGATTTTATAAACCAGCATCACTCTTGCAAGCCAAGACAGCCTTTCCTTGGGAATGCGGAACAGTTCCTTCAGAGTGGTTCCAGTCTCTGAGGCAAATATGTATCCAGGCGCTGTGTGGAGAGTATTTGCCAGTGAGAATAGCAATACCCAGGTACACACACGGTATGTGTTTTGCTGTGGAAGTTTTCCCAGTAAACAAGAATGAAGCCATCAAAAGAAAAGAACGCTAATTTTAAATCAATTAAATTTAAACAGAAACACATCCTTGGGGTATAGTTGCCTTTTGGTTAGCACGCTACTTTTGTAGACTTGGGTTATTTACGAGCAAATTGTTTTGAAAGAAGTATCAGTGGCATTGAGAGGTGAAGTCCAACTGGTCTCTCCTGTGGCTCCTTTCCAGGCCACGAATTACTGAGGATGTAGAGGAACAGGGTTGTTATCGCTCCAGCCTTGTTCTAGTCAACCTATGTGCAGACTCAATCTCTGCATAACAAAGCAACCCATATGTAATATTTACCGACAGGAAAGCAGATGCCTAGAAAACCAGGAAACGTGCGGTTCTCTTCCAGTTCACATAAGCACCACTAAACAGAAGGACATGCACTGAGGTCAGGTATGGACTAGCACATCCATCTAGGGTGGGGAGTGGACTCTGCACTCTGGGTACTGCCTAAAATAAGACACACTCGTCCAACCTTGTTGGAAATCTGCCTCTGCCTATGTCTGGGTCACATGGGTGGAGAGGGGCTGAGCTCGAAGCCCTGTTTAGCACAGCTAAATCAATGGGAGGATTTGTCTTTAGCTCATTTATTGGCTTTGCTCATGAGGAAATTCTTCCAGCGATGACAACCATCTCACAGCAGCTTACACCAACAGATCAAAATGGTACAAGGATCCCACAGAGGGCGGCTCACCTGCCAAGGCACATGTCACTAAACCTCCGGTTTGGATTTGCTGCCGTTGTCTGGGATAAGTTATTGGGTGGAAAGCAATTTGGATATTGTCTTCCTCCACGGGGCTCTGCAGCCACGGAGAGTGATGAAACGCGGTGGTTTGGGGGAGGGAGTCTGACATGGCCTTTCTCAGAACAGTACAAATGGTAAGGCCTTTACTTGGGGAAACAGCAGGCCACAGACGCGGCTGCACAGTCTCGAGGGGAAAGGGTGGGCATAAACACTTAAGTACGTGCATGGCTTTGCAGAATGGCAGACGGTGGGCGGCTGCAGATGCTTGCTTCCTTGTAAGGATTTCTCACCATTTGCAGGGGCCGTGTTTCGGCATCATCCAGGAGTGCCAGGGCAACTCGGCAGTACTTAAGTTAACCCGTGTTACCTGGACATGTTATCCAACACTCAAAACACATCGGCACAGCTGACCCTCCTCCAGTTCACATTCCAGATGGGCAGGGCAGACTCACCTAACTTAGTAGAGAAGACCAAGAGAAAAAAAAAAAATAGCTTGCCTCAGTTTTCCCAGCTAGCTGAGTTACTTTTTACACACTAACACATCCTCTCATGGAACGGAGGTCTGGGAACTGGATGCCTTTTCTTTCTTTTTAGTCAACTATTTCATGAGCGCGTGTTATATTTCAGTCTCCCTTTCCATACGATGAGATTATTGATAGCAGTGTGTCAAATCCTCATTTAAGAGTAAACCCTGGAGAGCTAAAGCCCGGCAACACTTTCTGAAACAAGTCAGGATGATCTTGAACTCACAGATCCTCCAGCCTCTGCCTCCTGAGTGCTGGGGTTAAAGGCGTGCACCACCACATGCAGCCCATCAAACACTTCTTTTTGAAGTATCTAGAGTGGACTTGATTTTTTATTTCCTAGATGCCCAGAATGATACACAAAAAGGCTATCACAAGAAACTCCACACAGTATGTAAACATCAAAGAAGAACTGCCAGTGTTGTAAGCTGAGAATTAAAAGCATAATTCCCTCCCCCATGGCCCTATCAAGATCTGCACATTAGGTGGAACAGCTATATGGGAACTGTCTCTGTTCACAGGTTGCTTCCAGATATCAAGAAGTTTAAGGCTTTCTTAATGATGCATGTGCCAATTTAATATGATTTCTAAAATAGGGATGATAAAAATACTGACCTACCTCATAGAGCTGGTTGGAACAACTAATTATCTCTCATAAAAACACTTCAACCTCCTAAAGTACCTCATAAAGGTTTATTATGAGTGGTAATACTAATAGTTAAACATATAATGTGGTATCAAATGCAGGCCT